CTGTTTTGTGCGGAGGTAAACTGAATGACTGACTGAGTTTGGTTTTACGCCGCTTTTAGCAATATTCCAGCAACATCACGGCGGGGGACACCAGAAATGGGCTTAACACATTGTGCCCATGTGGGGATTCGAACCCGGGTGTTCGGCGTGACGAGCCAACGCTTTAACCATTAGGCTACCCCACCGCCCGCGGTGGTAGACACGCAACAGAAGACGAAACCCTCTTTCGTATTTATTGTCACTTCTACTCGCATTTGAGATACAGGTTATTTTTCAGGGACTGAATGTGACATCCCAAGTTTTATCTTTCGTGGGTGCAGTCCCACATGGGCACAATGTGTGAAGCCCATTTCTGGTGTCCCCCGCCGTGATGTTGCTGGAATATTGCTAAAAGCGGCGTAAAACCAAACTCAGTCAGTCAGTCAGTCGTGGGTGCAGTATAGTGTTCTATTCCCAGAGGGTGTTTCAGTTGTGTTAAATAATCGTATTATTTTGCTATTTTGCCATCACGTTATTGAATGTTGGTTGGATTTTTTTATAATCCTACAACTGTCATTGTGTTTTAATCATATTTTAGAAGGGGAGGGGTACGGGCGGAACTCTTTCCACGCTGCATTGCAGGACATTGTCATTTGTAGAGTGGTCATTTAACTCCCCTATCCAACTAAAATGGGTGGAATTTGTGTCTAAAAGGAGAAAACAGTATCATACATTTAATTTTAAGTGCAAACAACTTACTCGCAACGGGCTCTTGACCCAACAATGTTAGATCATGAAACAAGATTATGACGTCATTATGGAGCTTGACGTCACCTGCTGTGACGTCATTTGACAACAGAACTGATAATGGCCCGTAGTTGAGGAATCAGCGGGCCGCTCATTCCTGTAACTTGAAGGCTGTTTCATCATAATTCCGTCCATTTTATCTATAATACTATGATCAATTCATCATTGTCAGATTTAGTCTGTGTGCACATAAAACGTGTGTAGTTTGAAAAGGGAACTACTTTTTCAGGCGATGGTGTAAGTTCAAGGAGTGATATGATTAACCTTTGTCCTAGAGGAACTTTGACCTGGTTTAAATAATGAATTTCTTTCACGAAAAAAACAGCGTAAAACGAGTTGAATTAGAATGGGGATAACTGTACTGTGTGTGACGAATTGGGGACGTATACCGGTGGTTATATAGCCGCAAATGTAACGTTATATAACCACTGGTATACGTCCCCAATTCGTCAAACACAGTACAGTTATCCCCTAAATAAACTATTTATCTCTAATCTCTCTCGGTCATTTGGTGGAAGTTCATTCAGACAAACGTTGTCTTAAATCGGTCACGTTAACATTGATTTGAAATTGACATGCAATTGACATGGAACTGCAGGCTTTGAAGCACGTAAAGCGGGTTCACGCATAATCTGTGAGCTGTAAAAACCAATCAACTTGGTTACAGGCCGGGAGAGCCACATTTCCGAAACAGACAGCCAAAATTGATGTGGCTCTCCCGGCAATAGTTACGGTTGCGTGAACATGGAATGTGGCTCTCCCGGCAATAGTTACGGTTGCGTGAACATGGGATGTGGCTCTCCCGGCAATAGTTACGGTTGCGTGAACATGGGATGTGGCTCTCCCGGCAATAGTTACGGTTGCGTGAACATAGAATGTGGCTCTCTGGGCTTTTCTGTCAAAACATATTTAGTGATTCAAACGCGTTACCCTATCTAACAAAACAAGACATGTTTCCTCATAATTTTATTCATATATTTTATTTCTATAATTATCACAATATAATATACTAATAGGTACTTTACATATAATATTACAACATAATAATAAATCTTAATATGTAAAACATAATAATGATAATGGTTTAGTTTGTTGCCATGTGTACAAACAGATAAAATGGCGTAAGATCACAAAATATCATTTACAAACATTATTTTTTATACCCCCTACTGCAGATGAAGGAGGTCGCCCACATGGTCCGTATACACCATGTCACTCAGGCGTTGGTTCAGAAGCTTGGTCTTCAGTGATGCAATACGAGCGTCAATGGTTCTGTATTTCTTTCTTCGTGAAGGTGCTGTCCACTGGTCAGATAGTCTCAGGACAGCAACCTCTGTGAGAGACTGCTCACGCTGAAATAGCTTTACTATCTCGTAAATGTTAGGGTGGCTTATAGCGGCCCAGCTGGTTTTCGAAATCAGTTAGATTAATCTGGACATTCAACGCTCTCTTTATACCCTATAAAATCATTCTATACGTGAAATTGATGCAAATACTGCTTGAATAGTACTACGTGTGTAAACAGAAAATAGAAAAATGTTACTTTGCAAGCACAAATGTTAACAAAGATAATTCTAGGTGTTATTCAACACTTTTTCACAATATCAAAGACACGTTGTACTTGTTTTCACTAATGCAAATCATCAGAAAATGTTTTTAATGAAATCATAGGAATGATTCTTTTACAATTTTACACACTCTACAACAGTTGTTTCTTGTTTAATAATTGAAAAATGGTGACTTTAAAAGGTTTATCTCTGTCTCAAAGCAGAATTTTATTTCAACCTTTCTCTTGGACATTTAAATCACTGTTATTGGGTTTTTTCGGCATGGTCGAAAATATATCGTTCATAGTTTTTAAGTAATTCATAAAGGTAGGAGGGTAACGTTTCTTTTGGCGTTTAGTGTAGGAACAGTCTTTTACCGGTATTGCTTAAACACCACGCTTGTGAGAAGGAAAGATTATTCGTTTCTTGTGAAAACAATATTATACATGGAGACACTCTTTTACCGGTTACGGTAATCCATTATTTAATTAATCTATTGGAAATATGGCTTTACCGGCTACAGCCATGCAATTGAAATGTGGCCTTCCCGGCAATAGCCATTTTTGAAATGTGGCTTTCCCGGCCTGACACCATCAACTTAACGTGTGGAAAATCACGAACTAACACCTGGCTCAAGCGGGATGTTTTTAGAGGCTTTACGGTGTCCGGCTCTCATTTCTCATGACCCATAGGGTGTTATGCTCCACTTTCTTGGTTAAAACGGCTCATCTCGAATGAAACATTACCGAATGTATATGATATTGGTTGAGTATGGATTTCTTTTTATATAGGTAACGAATTACTTATCTCCCATCAATACCAAATGCAAACTGTCAGGTAGGCTTAATCGAATATATATTTCACTCAACATTGTGGTAGATAATATGACTCATTGTCTGGAAATAGACTCGTGTCCACGAAACGTTTCACCTATAGCACTGGCACTGTTCGAACTAGTTTAATAAATACAATACATTATGCAGACAGGAATCATGTCAAGAATTTATTTCTCCAGCTGAAATTAGTTGATTAATTTCACTTTTGACCTTGTTTGATTTTTTAAATTTTTATTTATATATTTTTTTAAAAGATTCTTTAATGATCTGAGTGCACGTGAATTAATACGCTCAGCGGTTCAAGTATTGATCCACGGTTCACTGTGACCTTGTAAGTTCACGTGAAAGGACTTGGGGGATTACACACGTGAGTGACCTACTTCCGGACAGGTGTGTTGATTCATATGCGCTGTAGATAAACAACATACCCTATCGGGAAGTAAAATTCTAGAACCGACAATTACTGCATTCTTTTGTTAGCTCACTATTACATCTATAATGTCACAATAAAGGCACTGTCTGGGATTACAGACTTCCTATTGTTAGTGACAATCTACGCGGAATCTCTAAACGTCAACTGAGTAAATATATCTTTTATGTAAGATCTTTATCGGGCATGGGTACGTTAACAGGAACATGTGTTACGTATCAACGTACAACTCGGCGAACCATAGTCGAGGCATTATCTGTACAACTGAAATATAGGTTGAATTAATGGGATTTAAAGGGATATAACTGTAAGAATAACAACAATGATAACAATATGATGATGAGTGAGTGAGTTTGGTTTTACGCCGCTTTTAGCAATATTTGAGCAATATTACGACGGGGGACACCAGAAATGGGCTCCACACATTGCACCCATGTGGGTATTCAAACCCGGGGCTTCGGCGTGACGAGCAAACTCTTTAACCACTAGGCTACCCCACCGCCCGATATCATGATGATAACAATAACATACAATTATAGACTGGTGATGAGGTCAATGCCTGTTTTTTATGGACCCGCGAAAGCAATATTGACCTCTTCGTCCTCGGTCAATATTTCTTTTCGCATAAAAACAGGCACTGACCGATTTCGATTTCACCAGTCCATGATTGTTTTATTATGTAATAAACGAAAAAAAAGCTTCTGAAAAACAAAACATGTCCATTTAGTCAAGAAACGTAATTTTATTTTCACTACAAACCAATGACGTTATGTCAACAATACTGTGACATGTAAACAATAGAATGACGTCATAGGTTGACGCCCCTATCTATTTTTAGTAACTCAAGTCAATATAACTTTTGGTCGGACCTGTGTTGGAGTCAATATGCTTTTCTGTCGACGGTCACGTGACCGCCTCTACACCATTCGGGTAGCTGGAAATATATGCTTACATTATAACAACTATGAAGATGATGAATAATGATGACGATGAACATGTGCCGGTATGACTTCCGCCCGTATCCCCCCTAAATTTTAACGATGGGGAAAAATTTCTTTGAGTGGCATTTTTAGAAGTTGGATATGTCATTCAGTATGTTCAGATACAATTATAGTAATATGTTAAAACTCATCCTTATCAGATGAGAAATATATATTCAGTTGATATGATTTGACTAGAATGAAATGTAAAGGGGGATACGGGCGGAAGTCTTTCCCACATACACCTGCCACGTCTGTACACGTCAAACACGCATAACGCAATTCGAAAATCTCCTGATATTGACAACTGAAAACATGTTGATTGGCCAACTGACTGTCGGTTGGGCGGGACGGGTTGAAATAGACAAGCTCTTGTCGCCTGGAGTTGATTAGTCTTGCGACAGCCGTCGGTATCGAGCGCACGAGCCGCACGCGAAGATTGTACTGCAATGGCGTGCTGTCGGCAGGTGAGTGAATTGCTGTCGTAAATAACATGAAATTAACACGGTTTTGACATCTGAATGTTTGAATATGTCACTGTATATGCAGGTGCTTGTATAAATGGCACGGTCATCTCAGGTTCTGATTATTTGTGGTGGTTGTTTAGCCTAGTGGTTAAAGAGGTTGATCGCCACATCAAAGTCCAAGTCAAAACATTGACTATAGTTTGGCATGAAATGCATGTGGACCCGTTTTTTTGTAAATATCTCTTCATCCAATGACCCAATCGATCTCAAACTGTGCAAGTCGATGTTTTGTCAGACAAACTAATCACATTGTAAATCAGACCCGTGAAGATCCGGGTTAGAATTGGTCTTCAGTAACCCATGCTTGTCGTAAAAGGCGACTATGCTTGTCGTAAGAGGCGACTAACGGGATCGGGTGGTCAGGCTCGCTGACTTGGTTGACACATGTCATCGGTTCCCAATTGCGCAGATCGATGCTCATGCTGTTGATCACTGGATTGTCTGGTCCAGACTCGATTATTTACAGACCGCCGCCATATAGCTGGGATATTGCTGAGTGCGGCGTAAACCTAAACTCACCTCACCTCACCTCATTGTAAATCACCGATTTCATGCATTTGTATTAAAGAATCTGTCTATGTAACTGTCAACAAAATAAACAGCAGAACGCAGACTGCTTGCAGAGGGAGGGAGCCAATGACCTGTAACAGCGGCAGTGTTGGGTCAAAAAGGTAAATGTACGTTCAGTTCATGATAGTTACCTGTGCACTGCATAGTGATAGACCGTTTGGATCATTCACATTGACTACTTCTAGCTGTCATCATGAAAGCCTATTCAGATGATGCTAAACGTTTAATTAGAACATCCACTTGCACAGTTTGAGATCTATTGGATCATTGGATGAAGAGATATTTACAAAAAACCGGGTCCACATGCATTCCATGTCAAACTATACACAACAGTCTCGTTTCCTGCTGACTGGGTTCCGTCCTATTGGGCAATAACAATAACCAGTCCAGAATTTTGAGACCAACTCGATCAACTGGATAGATAAATATCCATCATTATTATTTAATACATCTAATCACTTGTATATTGCAACACTTCGCTCCTTCTAGTCCTTGCAAACACGTCGTGCAGCGTGCTCCGTCGTACAGCGTGCTCTGACAAACGGAAATCTGGAAATCTCAAAACGAATCTCGGCGGATAGAAATGTTTGGCGGTATTGTACAGCCTTGATAGTGTATCAATCACATTGTACGTTAGATGAACACATTTAATAAGCGCAGAAAACACATAACAGGTGTAACCAGTGAGCCAGATGAATTGTGAATCATTTTACGACCTCATCAAACCTGGGCAGTCTATGACGTCTTAGTTAACGTCATGGTGCCTAAACCTTGCCATAAAATATAGAAATACGATTTTTAAAAAAAACATAAACTTAAAATTCATTTGTAAATACCAGCTTCTTATGAAACTAGGAATTGCAATTTCGTGTAACCATAGTTGTTTGTAGTGTCTCTTTTCACTTTCATACGAGAAAATTCGGCTCGGCTGAAAAGAAGGTCATTTTCTGATTTGGTTCATGAGACTCTTGTTTCGGTTTGCGGGTTTGATTCCCGAAATAGGTACAATGTGTGGAGCCCATTTCTGGTGTCTCCCGCCTTGATATTCAAGTCAAAACATTGATTACACAACAGTCTCGTTTCATGTTGATTGAGTTCCGTCCTATTGCGCAACTTAGTACAATAACCAGTCCAGAATTTTGAGACCAATTCATTCATTCATGAAACAGCTAAGCACTTGTATATTGCAAGACTACGCTCCTTCTAATCCTTGCAAACACGTCGTGCAGCGTGCTCTGTCGTACAGCTTGCTCTGACAAACGGAAATCATTTTGCGTTACAACAATACACTGAATAAGCGCAAAGAACACATAAAAGTGAGTCAGATGAAATGTGAATCATAGTACGACCTCATCAAAAAGGGGCAGTCTGTGACGTCTTAGTTAACAACATGCTGCCTAAACCTCGTCATAAAATATAGAAATACGACTATTTTAAAATTTAGAATTAAAATTCATTTGCAAGTACCATTTTCTGATGTAACAAGGAATTGGAATTCAGTGTAACAATAGTTGTTTGTAGTGTCTCCTTTAACTTTCACACGAGGTAATTCGGATCGGCTGAAAAGCAGGTCATACTGGTTAATGAGACTCATGTTTCGGTTTGCTGGAATATTGCTAAAAGCGGCGGGAAAATAAACTCACTCAGTCACTCAGTCACTCACTCACTCACTCACTCACTCACTCACTCACTCACTCACTCTCACTCACTCACACACACTCACTCACTCACTCACTCACTCACTCACTCACTCACTCACTCACTCACTCTAATCATCTGTGCTTGTGTTAATTAGTAAGATTTAGTTTCGCTCTCAGCGACACCGACATGCATGCTATGTAACAAAATGCCACTTAGTCTATGCATATTACACAAAGCCCAACAGACAATTTTGTTCTGTGGTGTTGGTATTTAAAAGCAGTAATGTATATTTATGTTAACTGTTCCTATTATGAATAATATCGCAGTACTGTTTGCTACAACTGTTCTAATATGTAATCATATCCAACATCGAGAGATTTAATTATGATATATAGCTCATAGCTTGTGATTAAATAAATATATAAATGGTATCCATTAAGAATATGTAAATACACATGCCGTTTTACACCCTGAGAGTTGTATACGCCCTTGGCCTGATGTCGACAGAGACTTATTATTAACAAGTAGTAGAAGTAATGGGGGTATGAGATCAAGTCCAACAAAAGCCTCTGCAAAGCTGTATTTCACAAATAAAGCTTTTGTTAGACCCTTAGATCTTACCCGCCATTGCCTACTACTGTTTGAACCCCCAGTTAACTTCCCGGCCACACGTTGCACTACTGTGTCGCACGTGGCACTACTGTGCCGCTATGACTGCGAACTAGCACGTGTTACGTTGACCTCGATGAAACAGTTTAATGTGAATCGCCTATGATCTCTTTGGTGTTTGTAATAAAGGCTTGCTGGGCTTTTCGTACTCCCTGTTCTATGTACTTTTTTTTTCTCGTCTTCGCTGATAGCAGACTTACGAGACTAGGATCGAATCTCTTGTTTCATTTTGTTATATTTTGTGAGTTCAGAGAGGATTGAACGAAACTCTTCCTCTGAGATCCCACTGTCAGTGAGTGCCGTGTTCAGCTTTGCTACGGCCAGAACCCTGATCTCATCGTGTTTCAATGCCTTACGATGCAGTCTGCGGGATGCAAACTTAAGCACCAACCCTGCCATCCCTACCACCCCAGCTGTTATTTCAATGCCTAGAACTATAGGTGTGGCCACGATGGTGGCTAACAACCCAACACCTGCCGCCCCTAGTCCCATGCTGGTTGTCATAAGGGCAGTATCAGTCCCGTCCACGATATTGAAAGCTCTATGGTACTTCTTATATAGTGCTTTCCGAGTGTCACGGTCTTGTTCTAGTTGGCGTTTTACATCACATAACTGTCTCAAGCGGAACCCGTCTACGGTTTCCAGGGTCTTCGCTACTTCCTCTACGACTGGGTATAGCCCCATCCTGTGTGTATATAATATATCTTACCAGATTTTTTTTAATTGGGCTTTTGTTAATAGTCGGTCAACGTACTTTAGGCTTATAAGGTTTAGATTCGGGTGTACGAAGATACTGGAAACGATAATAGGGGACTTTTGGGCTATGCCAACCCCCGGCAGGTCTATCGAGGGGAGCAGTAATGTCCGTTGGTCCCCCAATTGTATGGCGATACGGCAACGTTTGGAGGATGATACGGTGTTATCCCAATATACTGACACCCCAGGTAAAAGGAGCAGGCCTGAATCCCTAACAATACTACCCCCTAGCATGACTTCTATGATGAGTGTGGAGTCTGATGCCATAACTACTAAGGTATTGGACTTCAACTCTGACTCCACGGGTGGCATTAACAGGTTGCCCGGGTGGCTGGGGTTTTGGTAAGCTAGCACCTCTCCATAACTCAGTATGAAAGACGTGAGGGTGAAGCCGGTGTTCTTAATTTCGGTGACATGCCCCTCTTCATTTAAAGAGATGTAAGGTGAGGTGAGGATTATGTTGATCAGCCATTTGGGTTCTTTAAAGTCTGCCAGAGGCTGCCGTATGTAGGCGCCGTCTCTTAATAGCAGAACGTACAAGGCGTCTTCCTCGTCGGGCTGATCGAATCCCTCCGTGTCTACTAGATCGTTAAGTGTGACGTGGGGGCGATCGACTATTGCTGCCCGCCTATACACGTTACCTTTCAAGCATAGGGCATACAAGGCGCCTACCTTGCCGGGCTGATCGAACCCCTCCTTGTCCCCTAGATCGTTAAGCGTAGCGTTGGGACGGGGCCTAGTCATTGCTATAATACTATTACGAGATAGTTTCCAATTGTTTTTCTGATAATCTCTCAGGGGTGCACTTCACCCCCATGAAGTGTATGTTGCCGGGTAGGAAGATCTTGGTTAGTGATATCGTGTCTTCCACGATCACGGTGACTCCCTGCAGACTGGTTTTGGAGTCGGCACCCACCTGCACATAAATAGTGCCAATGTGATACTGGTGTCGTTGCCCTCACCGGAGTTTGACACCCTTTACGATTTCAACTTCATCCGGTGATGGTTCCCCTAGGTAGACTTGGATGGCCAGCATTGAGTTCGTCGGTAGACTCTCCAGGATGTTGACCACGCCTTCGAATTCAGCCACCAACTGCAATGTCACGTTTTGCACGCCCGGCTTGCTAGATAGCATGTGGGCTGCCATACTGGCGACTGGGCTGATGACTACGCTACGTCTATGAGCCGGGACGTAAGCCACAAGCAGGGTTCCATTATTCAAGACTTTGTTTAGGTAGTTGTATTTTTTCTCCGTGAACACGTAGGGGGAGCCGAGCCTAATATTGAGAAACCAGTCGACTTTA